TATTTAAGGAGTGGAGTGGCATGATTTATCCACAGGGTTTATGGACAGAAAGCCCCCTGAAGAGTTCGCCTTCACGCAGGTGACGAAACGCGTCGGGGTGTTGCGTGAATACGGTGGTTTTTTCTGAATATCTTGCGCGTCACGTATCCGGTTTGTCATGTTCTTCCCTCTGGTATATCCCTCCCCAGTGTGGTCTCTGCACCCTCCTCCAGTCTTGTGCAGGGGTCGCTCACCAGCGCTTTTTCACTCCTCCGATGGTCCCTGCTTTTACCTTGGTTCCATTCTTCGCCCTTTTTTCTCTCCCTCTGTCCTCTCCACATGTCTCCCCGCTCCTGCCGTCCGTCCCCCTTATCACGATGTGAATCCTGCGATGTTCAGTGATGGCGGACTCGCGGTATGTTGTCGGCTGGTCCCGTCTCTCTTCGTCACTCTGCGGCGATGGCATAGATTGCACCCTGGCCCCACGAGTCCGTCGTAGCACTGGCGCCACTTGCGACTGGGGAAATGTGTCTTTGTTTTCATTTTTCTCATCTGAGGAAAGATGGGGCCTCGTTTTTGTGTTTTTGTAGTAGGACCCTGCAAGACATTCTTTTTCCTTTCGTAGAAAAAATGGCAAGTGTGTTTATGCCACAAAAGAGATTCGCATGGGCAAAACAAACACTAACAGACGAAAAGAACGGTCACCGAACTTGAAAGGCCGATGAAAGTACTGCGCCCTGTGATCCAGACCGGGTGTCATGACTGCAGGGGTCGGCCGTGGCATCAGACGGGACAGGAAAACAAATAGAAAAGGCCCAGCGATGGTGTGTGGTACTTTCATTGCCGTTTCGAGCTCAACGGCCAATCTTTTTGCAGGTTCGTATTCTTTTTTTCGCCTTTAGGGTTTCAAATCGTGCCATTGCCGCACTTGTTTCTCAGAAAATAAAGCAAGACTGTGTTTCAGGTATGGGGTAGAGAGGCCAATCAAGAAATTCTTCAAAGTTTGGCGCTAGTGGCAGGGGGTTGTGGTGGTTACGATGGTGGGAGATAACGTTCTGTGGGATACCTGCAACCAGCACCTGAAGGAGTTGGATGATTGGAACCACAACTATGGCGCTGATTGGTGGTTTGCCTGGTATCTGCTGAATTCCTGGGTCCCGGTGGTTTGTGAACAGACAAGGCCAGAACGGCTCTGGTCGGTGCACGGGCTTGGTCACGCTGCCCTGTAACTCGAGCTGTACGTGGGCATGAGGCCTGGTAGAGAGATTGGGGAGTTGTCGAGGGTGGAAGGCACTCTAGTATCTCTTGGTGAGCTGGTACCTAGTCGATGCTGGCCGGAGCCGGGGTTGCCGGGGTGGGTCGTGCCACCCTGTAATCTAGCAGTTGGGGGCGTGAGGCCTGGTAGAGACTGGGTACCGGGATATATGGGTGAGGCAGGTGGGGTTGGGTTGCCAAAAGGCTCTAAGGCAGGTGACTTCCGGTCTGAATGCTCCTTGGATCAATGGTTTGGGGTTAGAGAAATTCAATGTTCCTGTGTAGATCACATAGCTATCATTCTTAGCCGAAGCCTGATAATGGCCCGGTACCTCAAAGTTTTCTGCATAAATTTCTCAATATGTTCTTGAAAGGGACGCTGGGCCCGGTTCCCCGCAAGCGCCGCTCCCCACGAATAGTAAGCCGCCAAGGGGACCTGAGCACGCTAATGCGCCTAGCGCTGACCTGCACTACGGACCAGCCGGCGAGGCCCGGCTGCCCTCTGGAGACTGGGACAGTGGCGACCATCGCTGCTCCTGGTCATCCTAACTGCCCGTCTGGTTGTTTCGACTAGACGACGGTGCACTTTCCACCTGGCAGCTTGGGAGACAGCACGTGGGTGTGAGCGGCGTAATTTTGTTATCTGGCGGCGCGCTCTACAATCGGGGGTGATGGCTTCATTGGTTCAACTACAACAGGATGCGGATGACTGGCTGTTGACCATTCAGGAGGGCTGCATGTGCTTGTGAAGGATTGTGGAGGCTTTGTCTGCGAAGGGAAGGGATTGGCACGCAGTCGAAGGGGGGGCGACGGTGTTGCTGTCCTGGACGGAAGACTCGATGCAGAATATGCTGGATGTCATCTGGGAATTGGAGGAGGGGCAGGCTCCTCAGCTGGATGACCTCATTGATTGGCGGCAAGCGAAGACCCTTATGCAGCGGTGCTATGCCATCTTCACAGAGGGTCGGGCCCTGTGCGATGCGATTGAGGCGCAGGCAGCTACGATGGCATCGGCTGCAACAGCAACACCAGCAATCGCATCATCATCCATACATTCATCAGCGGCGGCGACGATGACAACAACAACACCAATAACAACAACAACAACAACAACAACAACAACAACAACAACCACCACCACCACCACAACAACAACAACAACAACAACAACAACAACAACAACGACACACGCAACACCAACTATACAATCTACATCGGCAATGGTTTCGGCAGTGGCAGCAGCGGCGATGATGACAACAACAACACCAACAACAACTACAACAACGACGACACACACGACAACAACGACAACAACAACAACACTAACACCAACGGTGTCGGCAGTGGCAGCAGCGGTGATGACGACAACAATAACACCACCACCACCAACAACAACAACGATGACACACGCGACAACAACGACAACAACAACAACACTTCCTCGATTTCTCCCCTCATTTGTAGGGGGTTTTCCTTTGCATTCTTGGTCTTTTGTCATCCTTCGGGTAGGGGTGGGTTAGCTATTGAGTAACGGTTTAAGGGGATTGCCGGCCCTTCATCCCTAATTACCGGGTCCTTTGATAGGCTAGATAGGTTTGTGGTTATGAAGGTGGGTGGTTAAGGAGGGCACTATATTAATAATGAATTGACACGTGGGGTGGCCCCCTCAGGTACCTTGTGATGCATTAGGGTTATAAGAGCAGCAGGTTAATCCTTCCCTGGTATGGGGGAGTAATCAATGCCTCTGCATAAACGATATATGCCTCAGCATAAACTATATACACAGTCATGATCGGTTTAAATTGGGATGGCCACGTTAGCAGCAGGTTAATCCTCCCCGGGTATGGGGGAGTAATCAATGCCTCTTCTGCGTAAACGATATACACAGTCATGATCGGTTTATACTGGGATGGCCACGTGGTCTATCTACATGATTTCCATTTCATCATGTCATTGTACAGGGACGCTGGACCCGATTTCCAGTAGGTGCTGCTCCCCACCAATAGATGGAGCCTTCGCTGCAGGCGTCACTTGATGAGGATGCTCTTATCACCTCGCCAAGTGGACTTCCTACGTTTGAAGTTTG